TTGAGGAAGAAAGCAATAGCTAGGGGTGGTGGTAGATGCCTATAATCTCAGCCCTCTGGGGGACTGAAGCAGGCAGATCACATGTTCAAGTGCAGGTCAGACAACTTAGTGATCAAGAGAGATCCTGTCTCAATAGACAGACAGACAGACAGACAGACAGACAGACAGACAGACAGACAGACAGGCAGGCAGACAGACAGACAGACTGGACAGACAGCCAGGCAGCCAGCCAGCCAGCCAGCCAGCCAGCCAGCCACCCAACCAGCCAGCCAGCCAGACAGGCAGGCAGGCAGGCAGACAGACAGACAGAGCTAGGCATATGGCTCAGTGTGAAGGCCCCGAATTCCATCTCCACTACCACAAAAGAATAAGAACAAGGAAAATGAATGAGCTACTCAACCCTGCTGTGTGGTTGTTCGTGGATGAGAGGACTACATGGTATTGCTTACAGTGAAAAAGTGGTGGTAGTTGGTGGCTGGAGAAGGCTCTGTTCACGTGTGTAGAGTGCCGGTGGTCAAACTCCACCTAGAGTACAGAGAAGGTAGCTAGGAAGGGACTGGTCCAATGGGGAGTGAAAGCTTTCAGGGAACACAATGGAGAAGGAAATAAGATACAGTAATTGAAAGGTCAATCTCATTTTTATATACAGGAGAAGCTGGAGTGTGGTTGACTAGCAAGAGGTAGGACCCAGTTTATAGGAATTTACTGACTATGCTGCATAAGGGAGAGAAGGCTTATGGTATAGTTTTTGTATAGTTCAAGGCAGGGAGGATTATGTGGGGAGCATTGCGGAGACTACCCTTAGAAAGGCGACAGAAAGGCAGCATGGCTGTGGGTGAAGGTAGACTGGGTGGAAAGAGTTCCCATTAAACTGAGTTGGTTTTCTTGAAAAGCCGGAGCTCTGCACTGAATCAAGTGGGGCAGCCTGAAGGAGTAGCTGGCAGTTTTGAGAAAGTGGAGAGGGTTTCAGATAGCCCCGTGGCTGGTGTAGCATGATGTGAGAGCGGGTCGCAGAGCAGCAGGAGGGCTTGTGGGCAGCACTGGAGCTGCTCTAGCTGGTGAGGTTCTGGAGGTTCGCTACTACCCGTCCTGCTGGGTGGAGTCCCCGGCCATGCTTGCTGTGCAGGCAAGGCACTGAGAAAGCAAGAGCCAAGTGCATTTTCAGTTAGGTTCTGGAGGAAGACTGTGGGGTGAGGGAGTGCAGGGCACTGAAAGGAACGTTATGGAAAGGGCCGGTGGGCCCTGTGGGAGAGGGTGCTGGACAGAAGGGGGCAGCAAATGGGAAGCTGAAGGAAGGACTGGGCAGCGTGAGCAGAGTGCGACAGTGAAGCGCTACTTGGTGGGCAGGGGTGACAGCCCACCTCAGCCTCTGGGCAGCCTATTCCGACAGGCCCTGCTCTCAGTGGTCCCGCTCCTGGGGCCCAAAACCTCCTCCGGCCAGAAGTCTCTGAAGGCTTTGCTTGCGATCTGGAACAGAGGTGTTCTGGTGAAACTGGCACTGGGGTGAGACCGAGCCACCAGAGGTGACTGGGGCTCCCGACCCTGCCGGTGGACTCCAGGACCCAAACAACGGGATGTTGCTCAGTCGTTGTGCCACAGGGAAGGTGTTAAGCTGCGAAGTAAAGATACACTTGCTTTACAAGCACCCTTCCTACACTTAATCAGGGCCTTGCATTGCCAGCAGCAAAAGAGAATAATCTTTCCTTCTCACTGTTCAGGCTTGCTTTCTTTTTTAGACAGCAGCTGACTAAAAGTAGCTCACGAACCTCCAGGTGTTAAGGCAACCAGTGAGCAGCCAGCAAATCAGATTATTTGCTAATGTTTACACCTGGTGTCTGACACAAAGGCCTGAAGCTGGGCCATAGTACGGTGGTACTCTAAGGGGAGCCTTCTCCCCAAGTTCATGAGCGCAAGCAATGCTTTGCTTTCCCTGTCAGGCTTTCTTGCCTCCACTTTGTTCTCCACCAGCCAGGGCGCATTTTAGTACTAAAGCCCTTGGCATCCCATCGACAGTTGATGGCAGCTGTCTCTTACCTTTTGAGGGTTCTACCCATTTAAAGTCCCACCTCTCAGTGCTGGGGAGTTAGCTCAGAAGTGTACCTACCTGGCACGTACAAGGACGTGGGTTATATCCCCAGTACCATGTGCTGTGCCATCCCCAGAACCCCTGGCACATGGAGCCCAGCTACCAAAACTGGGCATGGTGGTACACGCCTGGAATCCCGGTGCTGGGGAGGCTGAGACAGCAGGATGACTATAAGCTGCTGAGTTGCATCCTTGTACTAAATAAGTTTGAAAACATCCTACGCTTTACTTCCCTATTAATGATCTTTAAATTTCTATTTTCTTCTATAACCTCATTAAATGACTAGAAGCAGCTCAGTCTTTTGAATGCACATTGAGGTAGCAAGGAATTCATTTGCTTCTTCTGTGACACCTCAGATATGCCGCTTAATTTTCCTGGGTTGTCTCAGTTTTCTCTGTTGCTGGGACAACATACCCAACATCCAGAATTAAGGAAGGAAAGGTTTATTGGACTCGCAGTTTGTGGAGGTTTCAGGCCATACTTGCTGGCTCCAGCACAGAATACGCCTCATGGCAAGGGCAGCAACGTGAGGCGGCGGGGCAGCAGTGGCAGGGAGCAAGCCCCTTTCCTCCCTCACACTGCATGGAGGTTACCTGCCCCAGGGCAGGTGTAGCACTCTCACTCATAATCCCAGCATTGGACCATGAGTTAATCCCACACTCTAGAAGACTATCTCGTGACTGCAGGAGGCCTTGGGAGACATCTGGACACAAGTCATTACAGGGGCCTTAGTTTCTTCCCCTCTTTAAAAATAAGTGTGGTTCTTGGGCTAAGTGGCCAGAGTCTTTGGGGTGTGGAAGTGGGTTAGGCTAGAGCTTCCTCTAATCCTGACATTCTGTTGTGTTCCAGTCCCAGTGTGGCCAGAGGATTGAGCTTCGGTGGTCCTGGGAGTCAGGGTGGGACAATCTGCAGTCTCCAGTGTGCTTTGTGGGTTTCACCCAGGCACTGTGCCTGGGCCTGGGTGGGCACAGCAGCCGCCTTCGCACTCTCAGCCGGGTCCTCCCTCACCCTCAGCATGGGGGCTGCACCTCCGCACCAAGCATGGCCTTGCTTTTCTACTGAAACCTGTGGCCCGCACAGCCCCAGAAGGCATGTCCTCTGCAGGGACCCTTTCTCTTCTCTAGCCTCAGACATGTGTGTGTGCTGTTCATTTAAAATGTTTTGTCCTTTTCTCTTTACCAATTCAAACTGAAAATCTGTCCTAAAACCCCTAAAAAAAAAAAAAAAAAAAAAAAAACAACTCTCAAAGTTTTAACTTTGGAGCTTTAACTTCCTGGAATGCTCAGCTCCTCGGGAAGCGTTTTTCCCACTTCTGATTTTGCTTTCTTTCATACTCAGGCAATATGGTTATTATAATAAATAGGTGAATCCTGAGAAGTGGCCTTCCATGCCACACGCAGGTGCAAAGCCCACTCTGGACACAAAGGAGGAGGACGCGTGCGTGTAGCCGTCGTTTCCTCTGGGCACTTTTTGCCCTGGCTTTGGTCAGCAGAGCTTGATCCGATTAGAATGGGCAGCTTCCAGTTCGTCTCAGTGTGAGGGGGCTGCAGAGCCTGGCCGCAGTGGGTGTGTAGGAGTGTGTGGACCAGTGAATGCTTGCTCTCTGGAGAACACTGACTCCTTCCTATGATGCTGGGCTCAGTGCACGCCGAATCCGTTATCATTACAGCTTGCTGCGGTAGGGCTGGCTCCCTACCTCTGCCCACTTTACCGCTAAAAATGGAGAGCAGGGGAGTGGCCGTAAAGGTGGCTGGAAGCAGGGCTGGAACTTTGCTTTCTTTTAAAGATGCTTCAGGAGACTGGCTGTGGATCATCAGCTTTTGAGGAAGAAATGAGCTAGGGTGTCCCTAGCAAAAAAAGCAAGAGTGGGATGTTTATTTTATGTTGCAGAGAAAGCCTCAAACCCTCAAGTACAATAAGAGCAGGCCCATACCAGAGGAGCAGACATGCTCCCTGTCCCCACAAACTTTCCAACAGAAAGACCCCCAGGGGGGCCAGTCTCACCTAACCCTTTCTCGGGGTCCCTGATGTGCAGGGCGCTGGTTCCCCTCCTGCCTAAGTGTCCTGGACCTTGAGCATGCATCTGGGAGACAGACATCCAAATAAACACTCAGGCACCCTGACCTTGACCGCGGGAGATGGAAGCATCCTCCTCCACAGGGTGGCTTCCTTGGAGCAAGCAGCTTTGGGAGCCACACTCAGGAAGCCAGGGAGGAAGGGGGCGTCCGCCTGTCAGCCAAATGAGTTGTATCAACCCAGGCGACCCGAGATAGCCCATGCCCTTGCTTCTCCCTAGTGGTCACAGGTCCCCACAGCCACCACCCAGGAGCACAGCTCTGTCTCCAGACCCTGATTGCCAAACAAATCAAGGACACTGGAAGATCCCTGGGAGCTCCCAGGGCAGGTCACGCCAGGTAGAAGAGGCTCATTTCCGTTCCATCAGGCGGTCCCGAGTTTCCTTATCATGGGCCCCAGGAGAACCTTCGCAGCCCACAGGGCACCAACAGCTCCGAAGCTTTGTGCAAGTGCCGGGCGGGCGCCCAGGGAAGGCCTGACCCTGCGATTCTTTCTGGGGGAAGCACAGGCATCCCGGGCTGCATTTCCTCCTCGGGGGGCAGTCGGGTTGGCTTTCCAAACTCAAGCAAGGTGGGCAGAAAGCGCGACCTTCCTTTAAACTGAATAAATAGGGGCCTGAGAGCGGCCGCTGGCGTTCCCCACTGCGCGCCGAGGTCGCGGCTCTCGGCTGGGTGTCTGCGCTCTCCGCCTCCCCGGGCGGACACCGGAGGGGAGGAGCAGGAGCCGCAGGGCGCGGGGTGGGGAGCGCGCGCAGCATCCCGAGCCGGCGAGCGGCGCGCTCGCAGATAACGCCCGCGGCCGCCCGCGCTCGGCGCAGCCCTGCAGCGGCCCGGGGACCATGGCGCGGCTGGCGGCGTCCTGGCGCCCGGGCTTCCTGGCGCGCCTCCTCGGTGGCGCCTGGTGCCTGCTCTGTGCGGCGGGACAGGTAGGGCAGCCCGCGTCCGCGTCCTCTCCCGTCAGCTGGCGCGTTCTCCGGGAGGTCCCTGCCGCTCCGCCCGCCCGCCCGCCCGCCCAGCCGGGACAGGTGGCGCCGGCCGGGGTAGGGCAGCCCGGCGAGCTTCGGGTCGGTCCGCGTCTGCCCTGCGCGGGGTCTCCTCCACCTGGGCACGGTGGGCAGAGGGCGGAGCGCGGGCGCCAGAGCTGTTGTCCCTGAGTCTGGCGACCCGCGACCTCCTCCCCTCTCGCTTTGGGGACTCTCGAGTTCGCGATTCTGCTCTTCCGCTGGGCCTGTGAACTTCTGACGGGGTCGCCCCAGGGCCACCCGTGTCCCTTTGTCCGGGGCTTAGCGATGCAAGGTGCGCACTCGCGGCCCCAGGGGGGCCCCAGGAGCCCGGGCCACTGCAGCGGCTGGTGGGCCCGACCACACCCCCAGCCCTCCCACCCTTCTCCGGGCGGTGGGAGCCGGCCTTGCGAAGCTCTCCAGCACGCAGGAGCCGCGGGAGTGTGTAACTCACAGTCAGGGTGTGCTCCTTCCTGCGAGACCCAAGGGGCCCGCGGTGTCAGAATTCAAGATGCCTGGGGGGTCCTTGTGCTTGGCTTGCTCTCCACAGTCAGGTACATTTCGATTAAAACCCACGATTTAGGCCGTTTGCAAGTAATTTAGCCTACACAGCCCTGAGTCTCTCAGGATTACTTGGATAGTTCTGGGAGAATGCCCAAACGCTCTTGGTGGGAATACTTGCCAGACAGCCTCCTTCTCTTCTCTTCTGCTTCAGGAAGTTTGTCCAAGTCGGGGATTTCTTTCCCTTGCTTTCAATATTTTGAAATTTGTTTTCATGTCTCTTTTCGAATGGACTTTCTGATGGGCGCGGTGCACTTCCAGAGGCTGAGAGGATCCTGGAGGAAAACTTAGAACTTCCCAGAGCCAGCCAGGGCCTGAGAGCAGGGCTGCCCTAATCCGGGACGGGAAACTTCCGCGTAGAGGCCTGCAGCGGCGGGACAGACCGACAGGTGGAAAGGCTGTCTTAGTTACTAGCAGGCGCCCTTCCCGCCGGCCTTGTGCCTGGAAGGGCTTCCCGCCTCCGCTGCGTGCCAGGGGGCGCCCGGAGCTCCTCTGCTGCCACCAGAGCCCCGGTGGGACACGGAGAACCCGAGAGGCCGGACACCGGTTTCCACTTATCTGAAGCGCCCAGGTGGTTCCACTGTGCCACGAGGGGAAAGCCATTGTGCGAACGTGACTTGTGTTAACTGCCTTGATGTGTTTATATAGACTCGTAGGTCCTCGGTGCCCTCCAGGAGAACAGGAACGAGGGGCGCAGGCGACTCGGAGTCTTGCGGGGTAGATTCCTGTCCTGGCTCCTTCCCTATTACTAGCGTCGTTTTGATCAAGACTCCTAGCCTTTCATTTCGTCATCTGTAAAGTGCCTGTGCAGGCTTGTGCTTGAAGGTACTGCCAGCGCCAACGCCACCAGGCGGGTGGACAGCTAAAGTACTCAGAAGACACTGAGTTTTAAATACCCATAGTAGATACTCTACCTCATTGTTAAGATTGCGTTAAAACATCTGCTAATGTTGGATCCTGCAAAGATGCTCCAGAGGATTACAGTGCAGCTACACGCACACACACATACACACAATATCTTTCCCACTTTGTTCAAACTAATTTCAAGCTACTCTGGATCTCATTAGCATCGAGGACAAACTGATTTGTTTTCTATCATTACAGACCTGTTCCTTCTAGGCCTAGGTCTCAACCATTTCTTCTACATGAGGATGATAAAAGCAGACTTGACTCACTTGCTCGCTCTCTCTCTCTCTCTCTCTCTCTCTCTCTCTCTCTCTGTTTATTGGCTAACCCCAAAGGGGTCTGTCTGGTTCCAGGGATGCTCTCTTCTGTGAGGAGCTGGACTAGCCTGGTCAGGGGAGGGGAGAGGACAGAAAAGAGCTGGAGGCAGGTCCTGTGTCCCGGGAGCTCTTAGGGTGCCTCTGAGGGCCAACTCAGCCAGTGTTTGTCCTGTAGCTGACCTGGACACATTGCCTATTGTCCTTACCAAGACTCTGCCTCAAAAACAATAAAGGTTGTACCTTTCAGATTTTATTTACTCTTTCAGATTCTTATATGAGGGAAACAATATGATATTTATACATGCAGGTCTGATTTATTTCATTTATGAGTATGGTCTCTAGTTGTGTTTATTTATGTATAAAAGCCTTGAGTTTATCCTTTTTATAGCTGAGTAATACTACAGTGAATAAAAATACCAAATCTTTTTATCCATTCTCAGTTAATGGGCATTTGGGTAAAAGGAAAAGAACCTTCAAAGGGAAGGAACAACTAGGATGAGAGAGAGAAGGAAAAAATGTGTAGGCATGTACACAGGACAACCTGCATAATTGTACTGCTGATTTCTGCTGGTCAATATATTGAATGAAAGTGTTTAAATTTTTAAATTTGATCAGTTTTGCATGCTTATATCTGGTAAGCCAAACAACGAATTTGAAAACAGCAATATGCAATGTAGCAACCATTGTTGAATTCCTATCACTTTGTTTAGTGAAATTATGTATTGTTTCTAATGTTTTAGTTAGGTTTTTTTTTTTACTATTTTTTATTCTCTCTGAAAATTAAAAAAGGAGAGGGGGAGGGAGAGAGAGTGAGGGAGAGAGAGAGAGATTGATTGATTGATCATCTATAATCTTGGAGATGGAACCTTGGGTCTTCATGCTGAGTTGAATTCAAGATCTTGAAAAAAAATTTTTTTGAGACAGGGTTTTGCTTAGTTGCTCAGATAGGACTCAAGTTTGTGATCCTCCTGCTTTAACCTCCCAGAGTTTTGGGGTTCTAGGAATGCACCCCCATCCAGCTGTCTTTAAACATTTTTTTTAACCAAGGCACTGACTATGTGAATGTGTGACACCAGTGCTAGCCAATCTCTCTTGCATATACTGAAACAAAACCAGAAGGAAGAGCAGACATCAAGCCCTTCGCCCTATGTGGAAACATATCATTAATTCAGAAACAATTTTAATGCAAATGAAAAATATTTGAAAATCCCAGTGTTCCTTTCTCGGTACTAACTTGGTGCCCCCAGGGATTATTTCACTTCTCTCTGTGCTCTTCTCACTTGTAGGGTTGTTTTCATCTCATTGCTTAGATTCTTAAGAAATTGGTCATATTTCAGATAAATTTTATTTTATAAACTCAGTGTGAATCCATCCTGCCACCCAGTGGGTGCCGTCAACGGGCTAGGGGTCTCTACCTCACCACAGCGAGCCACTGTACTGTTACTGAGCTCAGTCAGGATCGGCTGGTGCAGCTCTAAGCTCTCTCTACTGCTTTAGACATATCACTAAGTGGCAGTTTTCATTCTTTTAAGGGTATATCAGTGATGGCTTATTCAAACATGAAGATTAAATGCTTTTATCTCTAGTGGTATACTAAATGGTGATCTTTCTACGAATTCGGTAGTGAAGTAAATAGTTCCAGAACTGTCACAAAAAATGTGCCTCTATGGACACATCTTCAGCTATGGGCTTTGTTAAAGACACGCTTGTCTCTCTTTGTCATCCTTTCCTATGTTCTTGCCATTATTTTGTTTTCATTTTTACTGTAACAATAACTTTTCATGGTTAAGGAATAATACCACCAACAGCTTAGAAAGAAACAGCAGCTTCTTGCCCCACTGCTATTCCCAAGCTTAGGTCCGTGCCCAGAGGCAGCTGTGCATTTTTCTTTATTCCATATTAATTTTTGTATGTTGTTTGGAGACAGAGGTGGCGCACAGTGCACTGCACGTTTATGGCATGCCGTATGCTCAAATTTGGCCAATGTGTGCACCCCCGACACCACTGCCTGAGTGTTCTTGGGGCCTTTTGTAATGTCTCCTTCTTAGCTTTCTTTGAATCCCATATCAGGCAAATAATGACCTTTGTGTTCCTGTACATGACTTTGCATTTTCCAGAATTTGCTGTAAATGGGGTTGTCATGCTCCTGCCTCTTTTTTGTTTTTTCACGCTTCCTAATTATTTTGTGATCATGTATGTTGCTTTTTGTGAGTAGTGTTACACTGTACAGATTTTCTACAGCGTGCTGTTCATCAGTTTTTATCTACTGAAGACTTGTACGTTTTTAGCTTTTGGCTATTGCCTAGAGAGTTGCTATGTACCTCCTGAACACCTGCTTGTATGGATGTGTGATTTTGTTTTTGGTAGGTGTAGACCCAAGCATTTAATGACCAAGGCACACGGGAGATGTAAACTTAATGTCTTCTTCTTTTATTTTTTATTTTTTGTGGACCTGGGATTGAACTCAAGCCCTTGCACTTGCCAGGCAAGCGCTTATGCTCCCGAGCCGTCTCCCCAGCCCCTTTCTTCTTCTTTTAAAGAGGCTCAGTCCCTGAGATGTTTGTGCAGTAGTCTCCTTATTAGCTGCTTCACTTTCTGTGGTTTCGCTATTTGTCATCAAATGTAATCTGAAGTGCTAGAACATTATATGGGAAATGCCAGAAGTAATTCATAAGTTTAGAAATTCGTGAATGTATTTTATTATAGCTCTATTTTACTGTTGTTATTGTCAGTCTCTTACTGTCCCTATTTGGAAAGAAAACTTTGGTGTTATCTTCCATTTCAGACTTTCGTGGAGGAGTTAGCGTACATTCTCAGAGGGCACAGAGGGGAGGGCTGTACCATCTGCATCCCTGCTACCAGCTTATGAGGATTATAATTCTGCGTCCTTACCAGCACCTGGTGTGGCCTTTCATTTCGGCCGTACAGACAGTGGCAGTTTGTTCTAGGTTTTAATTTGCAGTTTTCTAGTGATTAACGAGGTTTTTAATGTTCTTCTATGCATTTACTTAGACTCTGTATACAGCTGGGCATTGCTTAACATGGAGATACACGTGGGGACATGCGACGGGGGACGGGTTGGGCATCTCTTGAACGTGACAGAGTCCACAAGTTAGGCTATTGTCACGTTGCTGCATTGCA